GGCGGCTTTGATGAACAAAGGGCAAGAAGAAGAAGGTGAACAGTATTTTTGCCCTTTATTGATATTATTTTTAAAAAGTTAACCTATTTTTGAATTTTTTTTAATTATATTACTTTTATTGATATTAAACCACAAAAGTTGTTGATTGCTATTTTAGTTTTGTAGACGGCGGTCACGGGAGGAAAGCCACCTTTGTTGTCATTGTAGCGCCGGTCTTTAGGACTGCCGGCTTAGGCCATTTTTCTTGTAGTGTATAGTTTTCAATCTATTACCTAATCAACTTTCCATTAGATGAGAGTAGAAAATGACAGTTCTGACCCTAATATTTATGTCTATTTGAATAAACTTAATCAAAAGAAAATAAAAATGAAAATACCATTTTTGCCCTTAAAAAGACGCAAGCAATCACTCTAATTGGTCAATTGTGTTTTCTATATGAAGTTTTAGGGGTACTTTTGGAATAAAAATTATGAGCCCATACCCTAGAACATTTTCCACTTAATTTAAATGATCATGTTACCATATTAAAATGGCAAAACAAACACTTCTTAGTGAAAAGGTTGATTAAGTAAATAGGTTGCAAACTATAGGGAATGTTTTAGTAAAATGAAAATTATAGAATAAGTTTAAGTAAATCTATTAAACTATAGGGGTTGTTCTGATAAATGATCTAAGTTAATAAGGGGGTTTACCCACATTTCATTCGGTTGGGTTAATAATTATCATTGCCATGGTCATCATCATCATTTAAGCCTTATCCTAATTATAATAGGTCAACTGCATCTCTTCATTCTATCTAACGCCATATCAATTCTTAAATTATGGGTGTTTAAATCATCTCTAATCATTTCTATTCATGTCTATTTTTGGTTTATTCTTAATCCTTCTAGGCTTTTCAACTTGTGTTAAATTACTTTGGTGGTGATTTATTATGGATGCTTAAATCCTTTTATTTATGGGTGCAATCTGGATACTAGTGTTCCAGACAAGCTACATGGAGTAACTTCAGTTTATAATTGTGTTTTTTCAACAAACATGACTTAAATGAATTCCGTGTGGGGACCTGTTCAAAAAACAAGAAGTTTGTCCCAAAAGCCCTACAAAATGGGTACTTTATCACTAATTGGAGTTATTCCTACGTTTATTAATCCTTAATTTTCAAAATAGAAGAACGATACACATCCACCAGCTTGGTGACAATTAATAATGCATTTTTATTAGCAAAATATAAATAGTTCAGTTAAACAGAAAATTAAGCAGTCTGACTAGAGAGATTCGATGTGGTTACAAATTACAATAATGTAAGAGTCTTTTGTCAATGGCCTAGTGCTTTAAGAACACCTATATATACATATATATACTAGTATTTGTGAATGCGTTTTGTACATGACAAATTTTGTGATGATGATAATATATAATATGTTTTCAAAATCTGTTATATTTATATGTGTACAAAATTATTCTTATTTGTCACACTTATTATGGTTCATTAATATAGAGATATTACCCAGATGTTGTTTTTATCTTTTTAAAATAAAATTTTATTTTTTAATTATAACTTCATAAGTTGATACATTTGACCTGAAATGTTGAATTGATTTACCACCAAATAGGAAAACAATTTCACTTTTTGGTTAATTTTGAATTTTGTATTTTATCTATATCATCAATAAAGAGTTGAAAACAATTCTTGTTTATCGTGTCTAATTTTTAATATGATTAATGTAAAATATTATAGATGTGTCCAAATGTTTTCTATAGAGTTTCTATCTTTTTCATATTTTTTGCATTTTTATCTTTTTTTAATTTTTATTATTTAACTATGAAATCAATGATTGACACATATGGCCCAAAAGGTTGAATTGTTAACCTGCCACTAAGAAAAGAATTTCATTTTTGGATTGGTTTGAAATTTTATATTTTATTTCCAACATCAATAAAGCAATTATTATTTATCACACTTATTTTTCTTTGATATGATTAATATAAAATATTAGACAGGTGCCTAAATGTTATTTACAAAATTTTTTATCATTACATAATACTTTTGTGTTTTTTTATATTTTTCATTTTTATGTAATTATGATATTAAGGGTTGCCATATTTAACTCACAAGGTTGAATTGTTGACTCACCACCACAAAAATATTTTTTACTTTTGGATATCTTTCCAACATCAATAAGAATAATTATTATTTATCATACTTATTTTTGTTTTAATATGAGTAATGTGTATGCCCAATTTTTCTATATTTGTTATTTGTTTATATTTTAAAATTTTTTATTTAATTATAACATCATGGATTAGCCCACTTGACTTAGATGGCTAAATTTCTTACTCACTACCATGATGGAAAAATGGTTCCATTTTTGGGTAAATTTAAAAAAAAAACATGTATTTATATCGTTAAAAGCATTGGATGCAGATCAAATTAATAAAATTTATATTTTTTATTTTGTGAAAATAGTATCTTAAATATAGGATTCAGTAAAGGAATGAGAGTTAATACTACTTAATGAGAGGGAATTGAATGAGGAGAAATGTAGTAGTTCAAATTACATTTTGTGCCCTCACAATTAGAGAGTAACTAAATTCAAAAGGGTATTCTAGTACAAAAGTCCCAACCATTATTCACACTTTTAATAATAGTATAAAAGCAGTAAACGAAAAATGTAAAATGACATTTTTGCTATAACTTGTTTTCTAATTATTGAACAAAATAAGTTCTTTTGTATCTTTTTATCAAATAAGCATTATTAAATGAGGATGTAAAATAACAATTTTGCCTTTTTATTGTTTTTCAATTCAAACTTTAGAGGGGGCATTTTGTGGTCCAATGAAAATTTTAGAAGCCAAAGACTATTCACACTTTTATGGATAGTATAGATATAGATAGATAGATAGATAGATAGATACATAGATAGATATAAAGCAAAGCATTCCATGTCACATTGCCTTCCCTTTCTCCAAACCCCCTTCCTACATTCTCTTTAATTCCTTTTCCTTTCTCCATTACCCCTTCCCTACCCTCTCATTGAGCCACATCAGCAAGGCTTTTCTTTCTCCTATTAGTCCCCACTTCCTAATTGCCTAAAAATCTTCTTAAAACATCTCTCTCCTAAATATTCTTAAAATCTTTCTCTCTCTAGTTTACCCCTTATTTTCTCCTAAAATTCTCTTAATTACTTTCTATTCATTTACGTGGGTCAATAGGAGAGAGACATCTCAGGAAAAGAAAGAGAGAAAACTTGAACTATTTAAGGGTATAACATACAATATGGGTCCCATGTGTTGGCATTATTGTACTATTGTATGTTAAATTCAATTAATAATAAAAGTTTGCAAAGTTAATTAATGTTAGTAATTCATAAAATTATTCATTTCCATTTAAAAATGATTTACATAATAGAAAAATTAAAATAAATTACTGATTTTCTATTTTAACAATAATAATTGTATAATTAATTACATGAATATTATGCTTAATTTATAATAAAAAATTCTACATTATTAAAAATTTTAAACAGTGGTAAATTTAGCATAATATCATAACTTAATTTATACATCAATAACAATTTACTAAATAAATTATCATTGATTTAAATTTGACTTTAAAATAATAAAAAAATAAACACAATAAGCTGGGTTCAAATTTTAAGAAATAGTAACTTAGCATATATCATAACTTGAATTACACATTAATAAAAATTTACTAAATAAATTAAAATTTAATAAAAGTAAAACTTATTAATTTAAAATTTATTTAAATTCAATTTTAAAATAATGAAAATTAAATACAAGTCAGGTTTAGTATATGTTTGCCTTCACCCTAACTCGACACTCTAATGTGTTTACTGGAACCCGACATATGACATATAGTTTCTGAACCCAACCTAACCCTATAGGGATTCAACCTGATACTAACTAGACTTTCATCTTTTCAGCCGTATTTTTCTATAATGCATTTGAAAACCCAAGTAAAGATGGCAATCTAACCCACCCTTACTAAGGATCCTTACTTGCCTCGCCCGATCAGGGCAATTGTTTTAACTGTTGATTGGGTTTATGGTGGGTTTTAGGGAAGTCCAAACTTTGATGACCGAGGAAAGGGTGGGTTGGTATTTGTCCCAATGTTTTAAAAATCAACCTAAACCAAAACCATTTTCGCCACCAGTTTCTAATTTAGCGATTCGACCACCTGATCTGAACGAAGGACCCATTGCCATTGGAAAAATAAAATAAAAAATAATTAAAATAAAAAACAACTAAAAACCATTGTCCAAATTGAATAGGTTGGCAGTTTGATCATTCGGGTCAATGGTTTGATGACCAAGTCAATGATTTTTGTCAAAGGAACGGTTTAAGGGTGAAATGGAACTGGTTGCCTAGATGGTTTTCAAGCCAAATGATCTCCTCATTCGGGTCAATAACGGTTCAGAAATCATAATTTGTCCAGCCCAACAATAACCCCCAATAGATAATGTGTATGATATATTATTTTATATTATGTTTTATATTTTATATATAAATATTATAATATGACACCTATAATATATAATATTTTATAATCCATGGTTTTTGAATCATCATCGACTCAGACGGTAGGGTCGTTCTGCCCAGAAATCATTTAGACAACTAGTTTCTATTTCACCCCTGAACCATTCATTAGCCAAAAACCATTGACTTGGTCAGTGACCCATTGCCTCAGGCAGTCGAACCATCAACCCGTTTGACCCGAACAATAGTTTTGGCCATTTTTTATTTTAATTATTTTTTTATTATTTTGTTTTTTTAATTACAATGGGCCATCCATGCAGACCGGATAGTCGAACCACTGATCCAGAAGTTAGTGTCCAAATCATCTCTAATTTTGGGTCAATTTTTAAAACATTGGCATAATCAACCTCAATAAATATTATTAAAAATAAAAATTTAATGAAATTTAATACCAATTTACTAAATCATACAAAGCAAAATAAATAAAGATTGTGATGGATTTATTCCGACTTAAACCAATAAGAAATGACATAAGACACTTTCTAACTCAATTTCTTACAACAAAGCCCGTGCGTTGCATTGCACGGGTCCTGACCAGTAGTCATATATATGGAAATATAAAGCACTAATAAGTAGTACAAAAATAAGAGAAGAAGAACACGAAGACAACGGACGACTCACGTATAGAGTTGGCAGTGGGCCAGAATAGATCTCAGTAAACAAAAGGTGATGGTGATAAGGCAGGGTTTAAAGTTGGTCCCCCCATTAGAGGGAAAAGTACATACATACATAAATAAATGGAGGCTTAGACTTCTCCCCCTGGGATTGGTTGTCCATATGTAGGAGCTCCTACTGGTGCCCAAACTTGTCCAAATTTAGATCGCATTTTCTGGCATAGCTTTGGCAGATACACACCTGTACAGACAATAATTAATTAATTAATTAAACAAGGTCAATGTGAAATAAATAAATAACTACCTTAATATCAATTAACAAAGCGTTAGAAAAGTATTTGTATTCAAATTTGATACGAGTCCAAACCATGTCATTTAACATGGAAAAATCCAAAATAGTTACGTTGTAGAAAAATATTTACATTTTGACTTATACAATATATATATATATATATATATATATATATATATATATATATATATAAAATATTAAATTTAGGAGGTTATTTTTTTTGTTCCCATTGACTAAGAATTCCATGTTTATTTTTCAGATTTATGTGAGGACCAAAAATAGTTTATTTTCCTAGGTAAGTGATACCCATCTTCTAAGTGGATAAATAACTTTCTCACATAAGGAGTAAGTTGCTTATACTTGAATGGGACAAAAACACCTCTTTTAATAATGGATTTTTATGGTTAAAATGGTCATTACCTTATTTTCCTAGGAAATAAAATAACATAGGTAAATGTACTTACGCAGGTAAGTGTTTCCTAAAAATAACTTACCCAAGTAATTGCATATAATCTATGCAATTAGTATATGACTTTAAATTTGCATATAATCTATGCAAGTTCTAACAACCAAATTTAAGATAACAGGATCAATCAGGTATTAGAATTTTTGAATCCATTAATAACCCTAATTATCAATGAAACTAGGGTTATATTTTTTATTCACAGGAAAAAATCAGGGCTAGTTAGCTGTAATGAAACGAACCTTCTGCAGCTGCAAGATTGAAATAGAGATCAACAATATTTGGGCAGAACTGAAAACATTTGGGAGAGCAAAGCTTATGAAGGAAGTTGGGTTCCAAGAGCGAGTCGGAGGAGATGCCAACTGATTTCCTCTTGAGTCCACACGACTCAATACAGTCATCTATTTCCACCCAGCTAGCCGTGTTTTCCACAAGCACATCCGATGACTTGCATCCAAGCTTGACGCCGTCGGCACCTGCCTCGTATTTCTCCAGCACGCATCGGAAACCGGCAGACGATACTGAGAATGCACAGTATTCATTCGGCAAGTTCTCGCATGTAATTCCACCTGCAGTCTCACATACACAATTTCCATATGCACATACATGTGAAATGATATTTAAAAAAAAAAAAAAACTTTGTATTATTTTTGTATGTATTTACACTATAGAATACATATTTGCATTTGTAATCTTACCAAACTGAGCGTAAAGAATAAATAGAAAACCAATTAATCAAAGGAAAAACGAATGCGATTACCAAATGCAAGTGGAAATGGGAGGAGGAGAGCGAGCAGCAGCGTGAAAGCAGCCAAGGTAGTCGTGCTGTAGAAGGAATCCATATATATATTTGAATGGTTTTGGTTGTGCTTCTGCAACAGTGAACAGTGGGTCTCTCTCTCTATGTATATATATATATTGCCCTGATGAACACAGCTATATAGCACGTCTTAGCAATTGGCATATATGCAAGCTTTTATTTATAAGAGATGGAGGCCTAGGTTGAGGTGTGCATGTACATACGACATTGCTTTTCGCTTTTTGCTTTGACTTAATTTCACAGTCATAGAGAGATCATCTATTTGTTATTTTAAGCAAGTCAATTTGTTTGAAAGATAAATTAATTGGGGATTTAATATAATTTGGTTGACACTCAGAAGTAGTTTAGATCCATGCATATGGTGATGGTCTTGTACATGTATATAGAGCATTGGATTGTTCTCATCTCAACTTGGTCAAAAATCATAAAGGCAACAATAGATGTTTGTTTCTTAACGATATATTTTGGTTTTGGTACATCACAAGACACAAGTTGCGTTTAATTAATAATCAAGAAATTAGAAAGTCGTCGCCATCATCTTAAATTCTTAACTAAAGTGAAATTATATATGAGAAAGAGATGTAGAGAGAGGTTAATAACTAATTAAGAGGGTAATCAAAAGTCCACCACTCCAGTAAGTACTAAGTTGATCGTAATTAATGGGAACGTGAACTGGGATCGAATTGCTTAATATTAATTACCGGAAGAGCGAGAATTAAGGATCTCTCCATGTTGTAATTTAGTCCACCCTCCCTTTTAATCTACTTTACACTTTTTTTGGGGCAAAACTTTTGTAAAAGTAAAATCAAGTTTGAAATAATAAGATATGATGACTTTGGCATGCATGGGCATGGCTTCCCTAATCTAATCAGCCGGCCTAAGAAGCAATCTCTCCATAAAGGATTTCTTGCTGCTTTCTAAAGCAATGCAATTTTATTATTTCTTGTAAGGATATGATAGTAATGTAACGAGATCAAATCAGTTCCTCACAAGATTATCACCCATAATGTCTCACAGAATATTCTCATCGTCTATTGGGAACATCTTCCGATGATGACATCATCAGTTTTGGCATTATCATCGGGAAATGTTCACAATATACCACAGGAATATGTTGCAGGACATTGTGGAATGCTGATTTGAATTCCATTGAAATGGCATTATGGCATCTCATCATTTTTCTTCTTTCTTTTTTTATTAAAACCAAAACAAACACACACACAAGAAATAATCAACGTAACTGGATGTTACACCAACAAAATAAAAAGACTACAGATCCATAAGATGGAAAATTTTCCATCTAAGACTTATTTCATGACTTCAACCCTTTAGGCCCTAAACCTATGAACATATTTGATGTAAAGACAGGATTTTACTCCAATCCTTCATGAACGTAACATACCGGCTAAGCTAGTTAAAGCTTTCGGTTAGGCCTATAAGCGGTATTTGAAAATTTGAATTTGAATTTGAATCTAAGATTTAGTTTAATCAAATTGAATTTGAATATTATTTTTTTATCAAATCGAATTCAAACATACATTGATCTGATCCAATAAATATCCAAACCGATTATATATATGTATATATATTAAAAAAATGAAAAATAATATTAGTTCGAAAATCTCAAAATCGAACATTACATTCGAACTCTTTTAGTTTTACCTCTCAAAACCCTAACACTTCGTAACTCCCTTCTTTGTCGTCGGACGCCGCTCAAGCAACCACCATCGGTCCATCACTAGTCACCGCCCCTCATCGTCCAAGCAACCACCAGCCTTTCATTGGAGTTCAGACGCCATCATCGCTCATCTCATCCTTCCTCTTACCTTTATCTCTCTTCTCTCAGTCTGTGACTTGCTGCCCAAGCAACCACCATCACCGACGGCAGCATCAGTGATAGCGGTCAAGCACCGGTCACCGGCCATAGCTCAAGCTCAAAGCTTAAGATCAACACCATTTCTTTCGTCCAATTGCCGCTACTCAAGCTCAAGCAACCCTTAGGCCTCAACCATCCAGCATCATCGGCCTTGTGCTGCAACCCACGACTGCCATTGGGAACCCATTGCATTCGCACTGCCGAGAACCCACGCTTGTCGTGTTACAGTTACAATTCAAAAAGCCAATCAGTCGAATTCGATTCAAATCAAATATTTGATTTAATAATCGAATTCGAATTTGAATTGATATATTTGATACCCGTTGGATATCGAATCGAATTTGAATATCATTATTTATAATCAGTTTCGAATTCGAATCTAGCCTGATTCGATTCAAATTCGATCCATTTACAGACCTATTTTCAGTCGTCATACTCAATATAGGGCTGCAAAAAGATTAATTGGGGTTCAATTCAAATAGGTTATATCCAAATCCAAGTCAATAAGAATCTAGGAGATTTGAATTCAATTTGATATTGATGAATATGTAAAATACAAATCCAAATTTGAATCATTTATATATTTGGATTTTCCATTCTAGTTCTATTTGACTTCAAACTTAATAAATGTTGGGTTTGTGTTTTATTTTTCAGTCATTAGATTAGATTATGTTGTAATCTGATGATATATAGGTGTGATCCCCTCTTTTAGGTTAAAGTTAATTTTGCATATAAAAGGTTACTCTTTTGTATGTGGTAAATAATCAAGAGTTCTTTTGGTGCAAAGTTGAGAGAAGAATGGTGTTTTTAATGTAAAGGTGATTTTCTTTTTTTTGTATGGATTTTTTTTTTAATTTGAAAGAGGAAAGAGGGAATAGGTGTTCAAAGGGTCAAAGGTTAGTTTGGATTGAAAATTATAAGGTACCATGTATTGTTTCTCATTCATTTTTATAGTGAAAAAAAAAAGGTTTCTGGATGTAAGAAATACATCCAAGCCACACAAACCTTTTATATTCTTAGCAGTACCTTTTTTTTTTGTTTAGATTTCATTTGTTTTATTACCATTAGATTCTCTTACTTTCTATTTCATTTTAAATACTTTGTGGTTTCATCTCATGAATGATTGTTTGTGAGCCTAACAATAAATATGTATAAAATTAGTATCAATCTATAAAATTAAATATAAAATAAGGAATCATATATTGTAAATAAAAATAGATTTATCTTAATCATAAATCCCATTTAATCATATATAAGCTGAAATTAAAATAGTTGGTAAAGGTTTGGAACGTATTTTGTTGATAGAAAATCTCAACTGGAGGATTAGACTCCAACAACTAATGACATCAAAACCATAAACGGCTAGAGAATGAGCAACACCGTTACTTGAACAACACCACAAAGGAAAAGTACAAATTTAAACTATCACAGACGAACAAAATATTCTTTAAGTAAAAAAGATAACATCCTTCTTAAGTAAAAAAGATAACATCCTTGGGCCAGTCAAAATACTTCCTAGAAAGCCCATTGATTTAACTGCAAACAATCTAATTCTAAAATGATATTGTTTAAGTTTTTAATTTCTAGACTTTGGAAGTTACATTCTTTCTAAAGCCGCAAATGCTTCCACCTGAAGAGTAGAAAACCCCATGACCTCCTTTTACCATAATAGTACGTACGCATAAGATTTAAAGTATCGAAAATGCTATGCGTATCGGAAGGGCAAATTTAAGAAACGTATCAGGATACGCCTTGGATACATATGGATATGGACGAAAAATTAAAATACGCATGAAAATACATGGAAATGTTATAAATACTCTACATCATAAATAAACATCAATATCACTAAATATAAGACTTAAATGAGCTATTTATACATAAAAATCACGTATTTTAATGGATTTTTATAAAAAAAAAAACATATTATAATCAACAAATGGGAACAAAAACATACTATTTAATAAAATACTTAACTCAGTTCCAATATTCCAAATTCCAACTTCAAATTTTAAATCTATTATAATTTACAAATTCAACATGTGAATCCCATTATGATGTTTAAAAGTTAAAACTTTACATGAAGTCATGAATCACATAAAAGTTCAATTATTATATAAATTATCCAATTTTAAGTGTTAATGTGTTAGTAAGTTAATTTTCAATTGTTATTATGAATTTTTTTTTTTAAATATTTTTCAATTATTATCTAATACAAATATCCAATTAAGCAAATAATAACTGTTTTCATATTTTTTAGGCCACAATTATATTCACATTCAAATTATAGATTACAATGTGAAATATATCAATGCCTTTTATTTTGTATTTTTTAAATATTTTTAAATATTACTAAAAAATCATTTTAATTGTTTTAAACATTTTTCCAAGTGTTATCTAATCCATTTAAGCAATTAACAATCATTGAATCAAATAGCAATATAAAATTTGTAATTATTGAATCAAACATTTTTCTGTATTTTTAAATAATTATTTATTTGTACTCAAATAATTAGTGTGTATGTTTTATTCTAAAAATTAAACAAATATTTTTTTGAATGGATTCATGGATATCTATTATTTTTATTCTAAAATTAATAATTATTTTGCATGTTTTATTCTAAAAACTAAATAATTATTTATTTTTATTCAAATAATTATTTTTCATGTTTTATTCTAAAAATTAAATTAAAATTAAAAAAAAGTAAATATGTAACAGAAAATTTGAATGAATTTATGGACATAATATATGAAATACTTGTTTTGCATATTTCATTCTAAAAACTAAATAATTATTTATTTGAAATAATTATTTTGCATGTTTTATTCTAAAAATTAAACTAAAATTTAAAAAGTAAATATGTAACAGAAAAATTGAATGGGTTTATGAACATAATAGATCATCCATATATTTATTGTAAATATTTATTATTAGAATTTTATCATAGCAAAAAAGTTAGATAAATAAATAAATATTTATAATCTAAAAATAAAAATAAAAACAAATTAAATTTTTCATATGAAATTTCAATATATTGATGTCATTCTTAGCTCTACAACATACTCAACCTATAGGGTTAGATCACAAAAAAACTGAAGAAATTATCTGTATATTATATATTATTCTAAAAATAAAAAAATAAAAAAAAATCAATTATTTAGAAGAAATTTAAATTGATCTATGGACATGATAGATCATCCATAGATCT